GCCACTCCGGCCCACCCGCCACCGCAGGAGCCGGGGCTCGGGGAGTTGCTGGAGGAGTTCTCTCGGACTCAGTACCGGGCCAAGGACGGCAGCGGGACGGGCGGCTCTAAGGTGAGGCGGGAGGCGCGAAGAGCAGAAGGCCCGGGCTCTGGGGAGTTTCCGAGGAAAGGCTGAGGTCGAGGGTCAGAGGAACGTTAAGAGTGGGACCTCCCTGCGGAGGAAGAGGAGACAGGGGAGTTCTCCAGGGTCTGGACTCCGAGAACGAGGGTCGGGCTTAGGAACAAGGCACGGAGGAACCAGGGTCCGAATGAGCCGAGGGAGGGGGCCTTTTGGGTTTGAGACGAGGGTTTGGAGGTTCAGGACTGGAGCAGAGGGACCAGGTTCAAAGGGAGATTATTCCTCTGCTTGGGGTACCTTAGCAGGGCTTGGTAGCAAGCCCGCAGAGGATTCCTCCAGGTCGGAGGTCAGAAAGGGGCTGGGGTGGTGGGGCAGAAAGGAGCCAAGACGTGAAGCAAGTATGTCGCCTCCTTATAAGGTCTTCACCGCTTAAGCCCATCCCTTTCCTTCCACTGTAGAGCAGGAAGACAACCCACACTCCCTTTCTGTTCCTTTAGCAAAAGCTGGTCTCAGTTCCTCTTTTTTTTCTCCCCTAGGATTCCTCTTAATTATCTTATTACCGGATCTGGAAGGTGTCTGGTCTGGTCAGGCCATTCCCACTCCTGGCACTGGCTGACAGTCCCGTGGGAATCTTGCTGACCCTGCCACCCCTCATTCCCCACGTGGTTTGGGCCGCTTTAGTATCAGGTTTTCCAGTGGGATTCTGTTTTGTCCTGGGCCACACATCGCAGGTTTGGCTCCAGAGGTTACCTCCTAGACTGAGACCTGCTGTGTAGTTGGCATCTGCTGGTCACCAAGGTAACCCAGGGAAGACTTTAGTAAGGACGGCCTTCCTTGTGAATGATCCAGTATATTTCAGAGCATAGTCTAGGGACCACCTATTTCAACATCATTTGGGTACTTGTTAAAAATAACAGATTCCGGGACCAGCAGTTGGCATTAATGACTACGGCACTGGACTCCCATGTAGTTGACAGTTATTCAAGTCCTGGACCGGGGGTCTTAAACTCACACTGGGCGTGTGTGTGCGCGCGTGTGTGTGCATGCGTGTGTATGTGTGTGTGCGTGTGCCCAAGATCCCAAGAGGAAAATGGAGGAGAGAAGGGACTGTGGCATGGCCATCCCCCCAGGGGGTGATTTCTCACTTTCTGTCTCTCTGTCTCTCTTTCTGGCGAGTGCATGTGCCCTGTAGCAAAAAGTTCTCAAAAAAAAAAAAAAAAAAGATTCCTTGGTCCTATCCAGTCCTGTTGAGTCAGAATTTCTGGTGGTGAGAACTAGAATTTGCATTCTTGTTACAAGCTTCTTTAAAAAAAGAAAAATTATTTGTTAATTATTTTTTAATCTGACCAGAGAGAGACAGGGAGAGAGAGGGAAAGTGAGAAAGCAAGTCACTAGGTTTGGAACTCAAACCCTGGCCACCCATGTGGGAATCCAACACCTCAACCATCATGCTGCCTGCTGGCCCCATAACAGGCTTCTTAATGATGCCCATATGCCTTAAAATGTGAGGCTCTATAATTTAAGCTACTGTGAGTTTTTTCTCTATATCAGTATTTGAGTACTTTTCAAGGAGTATCTTTTTAGTGACCATACAAGGTCAGTGGTTTTTCTTGAACCTACCCCCCATTCTATATTACGTACTGCTAAATATTTGGGTTGTCATAAATTACAGTAGAACTGATTTTCACTCCAGCTTGTCTTAATGCATCCCCAGGCCTTCTGATTTCTTGCAAACTTGATATATTACAGATCTTATGTTTTTTTGTTTGTTTGTTTGTTTTTTTAGGAGAGGTTTTTGCTATAGGGCGCATGTGCTCACCAGAGAGACAAAGAGAGAGAAATAACCCCCCCCCCCCAGGGGGGTTGGCAACGCCGGACACCCTTCTCCTC